GCAGGGGTGCACAAAATCACACATGTATATAATATATATGTATATATATTTACACATTTTTGCATTTCTAGGTAGGGGGTGCTCGCAAGCCAAGTGCGCACCCTACCCACAAGAGGAGCACACCAGTGATTACTCTCAGACACCTGGTGATCGCCGAGCATTACCAACAGAAAAGAGAGAACTTGTATGTAAACAATACAGTTCTCTTCCCTGTCATTCCTGCACACTGCTTTTCAAGGCTCTGCATAGCAGAGCCATAGAAAGCAGTATGTGCTTATAGTCGAAAGTGCTAGCACAGCAACACAGTAAAAGAGCACACAGTTAACCCTTTGAATGCCCCACATGTTAACTCCTTCCTGCCCAGTGCCATTAGTACAGTGTCAATGCTTTTTATTACCACTGATCACTGTATTGGTGTCACTGGGGATGTCAGTGACACCAAGTCAGTTCCCCCCAGTGTCAGAATGCCTGCCGCAGTCCTGCAGTAAGTCGCTGATTGCTGCCATTACTAGTAAAAATAAAAAAATTCCAGTGTCTATACCGCCATTTGTAAACGCAATAATTTTCATGTAAACCAATTAATTGACACCTATTGGGATTTTTTTTTAGCAAAGACATGTAGCAGAATACATTTTTGGCCTTAAATTTATGACGAAATTTTATTTTTCAAATTTTTTTACTGGACATGTTTAATAGCAAAAAGTCAAAAATATTATTTTTTTTCTCAAAATTATCGGACTTTTTTTGTTATAACGCAAAAAATAAAAAGCAAACAGGTGATAAAATACCACTGAAAGAAAGCTCTATTCATGGGAAAAAGACATAAATTTCATTTGGGTGCAGCGTTGCATGATCGCGCAATTGTCAGTTAAAGTAACGCAGCGCTGTAACGCAACAAATGACCTGGTCACGAAGGCGGGTAAATCCTCTGGAGGGTAAGTGGTTAAAAGAAGTAAATATGATAGACTTTCCTATCTATTTACTAATGGTAGCAGCATAAGGATTAAAAATAGTCAATGTAGATTGAGAGGGTGAAGTTCCGCTTTAAATATACAGCAATTCATCCCTATAAAATAAAAGGTTGATTTCCTCCCCTTTGAATCTTCACATGCCCAGGGTGCAATTAATGGTCTAGTTGGGTATAGCTGGATCACTTACAGTCTTTGAACTTTCATGTTTCATAACAGGCAGGGAGGCGTTCACATAACGTTTTCTTGTCGCCTGTCAAATGCCCTCTAAAGAGTGACCCACTGCCGATCACTCTTCAGAGGGCTGAAGTGTGTGTGCTATTGAGCCTTTAGAGATGTGCTGCAATATAGTAAACATAGTGACTTATAGATCTCCCCCTAGCTACATTACAAAAAGCACTTTATTTGTTACAGGTGCATATCTTCAGCTTTTACTCGGCACAACGTATTTGTGGATTGCTATAATTCCTTTCACTACTCATTCCCAGCACTTTTTATGTCTTGGTCATGCTTAAGACAGCTTATTTATCTTGTCTCCCTCTGTATAATTTGTATGTTCAACAGAGGAAAAGATAGATTTTTCCCTATTGACGGTATGATTGAATATAATTCTGTAAAAATATATTTCCTATCCAGTACACAAATGATTACCCTGGCTGCCCATAATCTTTTATGTGGGCCACTGCAGACATAAACCCCAGGATGTAAACCAAAGACAGAAAAAGTACATATTTTATCAGTTTTAATTTGCAAATTGGAGTAATTTCTCCAAATTGAATGTCAAATAAATAGTTGTTCGCACAACTCCAATTCCCAGATGATATCGATCTTAAATATATATATATGTTTTTTTCTTACCACATCTGTATAAAATTTTCTTTTTTACCACAAGAGTCATGAGGCGTACTAACGTGTAATTTTAAAATGAAAAAAATAATGATAACCAGTATGATATCCCACATTGTTTAAATAATGATAACATATTAAACTTATGATAGCTGCACATGCTATATTTGTAGTATCATAATAGTTATAATTTTCCCAGTGTATAATATATTTTTCTAAATGATGATTTACTACCATTGAGGAAAATGTTCTGCTTCCTTGGCAGTGGCTTCAGAGGATAGCTCTGCTGCTTTCTATAGTCTTCCTATGTTCATGTGGCTTTCCTTCCAGACTCTGTTCTTACCAGTGTGTGTGTGTCGGCAGTCTGGATGTGTTTATCACCAATCATGAGCGCATTGATTTGCCCCTAGCGGGATTTGAACTGGCTTGGGCTGATCCACCACCAGTGAACATTCAGCTCTTTGAGTTTAAATGATCCGCTCAGTGTACTGATAAAGGGGTAAAGTGCAAACAAGACAACCTCCTGCATTCACTGTGGATGTTCTGGCAGTGGAAGGACCTTAGATCTTCAACAACTTGAGGCTAACTAAGACCTTGCAGCCACTTGAGGACTGGGGAAGCCCAAGAGGATGACTGGGAAAAACAGAAACAGAGGGCACACCAGCCTTGCGCATTACCTTTATAAATCTTTTTATTGAAGAAATGAAACAGATGTGTACAGACTGCATATGATAGCAAGCCCATGTATCACTACCCCCCTGGAAATTGCTGAAGATTTTGGTCCCCCTATAGTCCTGCACAGGCAACATGCATTTTTCACAGATTTGCACCCACAGTCAGTAAACAGTCCTTGAGCTTGGTTTTATGTTTTACTAAGGGGTGTTGAGCTTGGATGGGGTATGGGGTGTATGGGATGACCAATGGAATGGCAAACCAAGGACAAGTCCATAAAAGGGTTTCTCTTTTTGGAGAGCTTGCCAGCCTCTCCTGGTGTACCTCCCCAGACCAGAGATAATCCTCTTCTTATCCAGCTACCTGAGTGAGTCCCTGGGCAAGGGAATCCAGTGCCTGCCACTTTAAAGTGAAACAGTTCCAGGTAGGGAGCTAATCAGTTTCCCACCAGAGTGCTCTTTTTCCCTTAACTGGCCAAGGGGGTGTAGGACTACTCACTCAGTCTTAGTCCTATTTAGGTAGGTGGCTGCCTTCAGGCCTTCTGCTGGGCTGGCTCCTTTCCTGGCTCTACAGGTGGTCCTCGCTCTGGGGACCGGTGAGGCTGAGTGATCCTCCTTTCCAGCACCCTGCCTGTAGGCAGGCCTCTTTCCACTGGACCCCCTCCCAGGCTCCAGTATCTCAGCTTTCACTCTTCCATTGTTCCACTGAGCAGGATCCATCACTTTTAAGGGCTGTCCCAACCCCTTACCAAGCCTCCTGTTTGGGGATTGGTCAGGATCCCTTAAGAGTACAGAGCAGCCCCTCCTCATCCCCACCCACTGCTTCTAGAATCTTCTCCAAGAATCAAGAGCGGGGAGAGGTATCAAGGAACTGATCTGCAGAGCCTCTCAGCCCTGACCCAACTGGTTTTTGGTAAATTTAAATTTTTTTATTTCTATTTATAACTTTTAAAAGCTCAACTTAAAGTGGTATTAACCGTTTTCCAACCGCCCTATAGCAGAAATACTGCTACAGGGCGGCACGGGTGTGCAAAATCACGTATATATATGCTGCCATTTGCAGCGACGGCTGTCAATCACTGAGTCCCGGACTGTGATTACTCGCCGGCACCCAGTGATTACCGAGGATCTCCGACAGGGAGGGGGACTGTTTTGTTTTTGTCAGCTCGGGCACACTGCATAGGATGGCTGTGCACATCCATCCAAAGCAGTGTGCTTACAGTGAAGCACACTGACACGGCCCCCTATGTAAAACACTCCCAGCACACAGTTAAACCTTTGATCACCCCTCATGTTAACCCCTTCCTGCCCAGTGTCATTAGTACAGTGTCAGAGCTTTATTTTTTTAGCACTGATCACTGTTTTGGTGTCACTGGGGATGTTAGTGACACCAGATCAGTTTTCCCCCCTAGTGTCAGAATGTCCACCGCAGTTCAGCTATAATTTGCGTATTGCCGCCATTACTAGTAAGAAAAAAATCCCAGTATCTATACCGCCAATTGTAAACGCTTTAACTTTCACATAAACCAATTAATTTACATGTATTGGGAATTTTGTTTAGCAAAGACATGAGCAGAATACATTTTGGCCTAAATTTATAACGAAATTTGATTTTTAAAATTTTTTTTACTGGACATGTTTAATAGCAAAAAGTTAAAAACATTGTTTTTTATATCAAAATAGTTTTTTTTTTTATAGCGCAAAACATAAACAACACACAGGCAATGAAATACCACTGAAAGAAAGCTAAATTCATGGGGAAAAAAGGAAATAAATTTAATTTGGGTGCAGCATTGTATGACCGCGCAATTGTCAGTTAAAATAACGCAGTGCCATAATCAAAAAATGGCCTGGTCAGGAAGGGGGGTAAATCCTCTGGAGGGCAAGTGGTTAAACCCAACAGCAAACATTTAATATATTGCTGCTTAACAGAAGTTTTAGCTTCTTTTTATTTATTAAAAGGTAGTTATATTGCGCGACAATTTATGAAGAGTTTTACATATACTGTATATTGTACATTCACATCAGTCCCTGCCCTCAAGGAGCTTACAACCTAAGATCACATTCACATATACTAGGGCCAATTTACATACTAGCATGTCTTTGGAACACACACAGGCACAACATGCATACTCCAGGCAGGTAGTGCCATGGTGGGATTCCTAGTGCAGAATTGCTAACCACTGTGCTGCCCAAGGCTTTCTTTCTTTTATTTTCACCTGGTGATCTAGCCAGCAAATCCATTGATTTTCAACAGAACAAGCTTTAGATGTAGCAGCTAGAGGGCCAAGATAATCAATTTACCACTGACAGGGGTTCTTACAATGGTTCACTTTTATTTATTTATGTAAAACCTTTATCTGAAAAGGGAAAAATTGTTGCTGTAACTGCTTAACCTCCTTGGCGGTATTCCCGAGTGTAGCTCGGGGTAAAATTTCAGTACCAAGAGCGGTAACCCCGAGCTACACTCGGGCTTACCATGCGGCGTTGCTCAGGGAGTCCCTGCAGCACTTACCTTGTCCTTCGCTCCCACGATGTGTCCCCTGCAGCGTCCCCGGCCATCTCCTCTGGCCGATGCCGGCATCCGGCTTCTGTGTTCCGGTCCCTGTGATGTCGGGACGTATGGGCGCCGGAACCGGCGGCAAATTTGAAATTTTTTAAAAATTTCATTTTTTTTAAAAAATGATTATTACATAGTAAAACATTGCTGTCCAGTGACAATGTGAGGAGCGGAGGAGGAAGCAGTCTCAGATCCCAACCCAGAAGTAGCTCACCTGTCACTTCACGTGGGGGCAGAGTGAGTCGGTGATGGGTCTGGACACGTGTTGGTGATGGAGCCGGTGGGCAGTGAGAAGGTGATGTCAGGGCTCCCGGGTATGACCAGAGGTGTGTGACTGACGCAGGGAAACGCAGACTTCCGATAAGTTATAAACAATTTATTAACACTAATAATACAAACATAAACGCAGTGCAATACTAAAACATAACACAGTGCAAACAAACCAAACCACCCACAGATAACAGTACATACAGTGCAAGCGTCGTCAGGCAGGCCGGGTCAATATCAATCGGGCAGGTAGGTACAGGGGGAGCAAGCGGAGAATAGTCAGGTCACGAGCAGGGTACAGCAACTAACAGGCAGGTAGGTACAGGGGGTCAGGCAGAGAATGGTCGGGGTCACAAGCCAGGGATCAGAACAGGAGAAGTCAGCAGAGGTCAGAATCAAGCCGGGTCAGCAACAAGACAGGAACAGGAACAGGAGCAGGATGCAGGAACAAGATACAGGGCCCAGGAAAAACACAACACCAAGGCAGAGTCTGCAGGTCTGAATGTCCCTTAAATACACCAGTATAACTAGTTCCAGGTGTTTGACTGGCTGCAAGGTTGAGTCTCTGATTGCTGGGAGCACCCGCTGGCCAGCCCTGGTACTGCAGCTCACAAGGCAGGTGAGTCCCACTATTGCTGGCCAGTCCATTCCTGACAGTGAGAGGCATATCATCCATGGATGCGGGGGGGTTCACTGCACACACCCCGCCCCCATGGATGATATGTATCAGGAACAAAGTCGGAGGTGATCGGTGCAGTGGAGAGACAGTGACAGCACCGATCTCCCTGCATGGATTTTAATGAAGCAGCTGAAAGCTGCGGGAGGGAGAGCCTTCCAGCTGCCTCCTTGAAATCCATGCAGGGAGATCCATTCCCTCCCTCCTTTTTCCTTTCTTTCTTTCTTTCTTTCTTTTTTCTTTCTTTCTTTCTTTCTTTCTTTCTTTCTTTCTTTCTTTCTTTCCTTCCTTCCTTCCTTCCTTCCCTCCTTCCCCTTCCTTCCTTCCATTCCCTCCCTCCCAACTCCTCCATCCATTCTCTCCCTCTTTTTCTTCTTTTCCTTCCTTCCTCCATCCCCTCCCTTCATTCTTTCCTTCCACCCTCCTTCCTTCCCTCCCCTTTCTTCCTCCATCCATTCCCTCCTTCACCTTTCCTTCTTCCTTCCTTCTTTCCTTCCTTCCCTCCCTCCATCCATTCCCTTCCTTCCGATAAAAGGGGGTACAAGTTCTGTTCATTCATCTCAATCTAATGACAGCCCAACATATACTAGTGCTCCCTGTTCACTCCCTACTGACACTGTCCACTGCCCCCACAAAATCATTGTGAAAAAAAAAATACAGAAAAAATTGTAAAAAATAATAAAATAATTATATAATAAAAAGTAAAAAATTCTGACACCCACGCCATTGCTCTACTGACACCATCCACTGGCCACCCAAAAGCATTTTGAAAAAAAAAATAAAAGTAAAACATTAATTTGTAAAAAAAATCATAAAATTGTAAAAAAAAAAAAATAATAAAAATGAAGAACTACTGACACCACCTATTGACACAATCCTACACGTACTACCCACAGCCATACACTGTGCACTCCTCTCCCTGTACATACTACCCACTGTCATACACTCCACACTGTACATTCCTTATTTAACATTACCTCATTCTGCACTATATATGTCATCTCAGACACTATTTAACCACATCCCTTTTAAGCCACGCCCAATTTGTAGCGCAATTTCAAACACACCCCTCCTCTCTCATCCCCTCCTCTCTCTCTCTCTCCTCCTCCTCTCTCTCTCCTCCTCCTCCTCTTTCTCTCCTCCTCCTCTCTCTCTCTCTTTTCTCTCCTCCTTCTCTTCTCTCTCTCTCTCTCACCCCTCCTCTCTTTTTCACCCTCTCACCCTCTCACTCCCCTCTCTCTTTCACTTCCCCCACATGGCAGCCATCTTTAAACCTGGAAGTGCCCAGTGGCTTCTACGGAAAGAAGCCGGGAACATTCATGCAGTCTTTGCTGCAGTAAATATTTAAATGTCCCTTCTATGCAGCTGAGCTGCAATATGTAGGTAGCGTGTTGTGTGGCTGTGCTTGAGTGTAGATGGGGGCACAGGGGGCCCCATTATCTCTTACTGCCAGGGGGCCCCATGAGTTGTCAGTCCGCCCCTGCACTAGTCACTGCTGATTAGAGCCGTGCGGAGTCACGGCTGTACTCCTAGTGTGGGTCATTAATGTGCAATAAAAGTGCGTAGCATGCAATCATTTCATCCAAGAGTATTTGTATGTATAGGTCTATTGTATGACAGGCAGTAATAGCATTCCATCAATGCTTAAATGTCAAGGACCTCCGAGGATACAGAGGAAAGATTGTGAAAGTCATAACCTTTATGCCGGCAATCAATTCCAAGGTGACTGACCCACTCCTGAGCTGTCATTTTTATATCCTAAAGGGAACCTGTCACGATAGCCATTATTTAGCCAAGTTGAAGCTATCAGCCAGCTTTAGTCTAGGTTCACACCTATTCAGGTTGCGTTTGAGCCATTTCTGCATTGCGTTTTGTGTTGCGTTTTTGCACTTGTGTTTTTGACACGTTTATGCCGTGTTTTTGATTTTTACATTTTTTACATTTTTCTTGTAGCTAGGCAGATTTCAAATGCAAAACGCATCAAAAATGCCGCTAAAACACAGAAAAAACGCAATACATACTTTTCTGCAGCGTTTCCATTGAAATCTATAGAAACAAAAATGCAACGTTTTGCTTTCAAAGAAGTCCCTGACCCTTTTCAAAAAACACACAAAATGCGGAGATGTGAACCTGTCCCATAGGAAATCATGTTAAATGAACTGTACTGCATTTCTGAAAAGTGCATAACGCTGCAGAAAAAGGGTTAGGGGTTGCTGATTGTGAGAACGTAGAGCACATAAGTGTAGGTTACAAAGTTGCAAATTTTCTAGTGCTTGTAATGTTGTCAAAAAGTTTAGAAACTTCAGGTATATGTTGCAGTTTTAGAGGAATTTAAAGGAATGATCTTAACTTTTAGAAAACACTCACATTAGAGCTGATCATGACCTCAGCAAGCATCCGTAGAAAATCACATTCATTACAGTTTCTGTGAAAAACAGCAACCTTAGAAATATAAATATAAGAGTGACAAAAGGCCAAATGGTCCAAATGGTCCAATGAGTCTGCCCATTTTTAATATTTTTTTTCCCTATTTTTGTCTGAGTATAGATCTACAGTACGGTATGTTTGTCCCAAGCATGTTTAAATTAATGTACTGTTGACTAACTCACTACTGCTGGAAGTCCATGCAAGAACAATTTTGGTTCAGTGTTACTAACCCCACAACAGTAAAATCAGTCTGTATATGCAGTAAAGCATGCTTGTTATACTCTCTGTGGAACCTAAGGGGCTAATCATCTGCTTTGTGTAAAAATGCAATTTGATCCTGTCTTCTCTGCTCCTCCTCTTGTTCAAATGTCCCCCTCTTATCTCCTTATAAGAACTGTAGCCATTCTGCACATGCTCAGTTTGGTGTTTTTTGCTAGAGAGTTTTTTTTTTCTTGGGAGAGTGCATGTGATCAGCACAGGGCCAATCAGCACTGTTCACACAGAGGTCAGGGGTTTTGCATCCTCCTAGACTAGAGCAGAAAGAAAACTCCTCCTACAAGCTGTAACCAGTGCTCTGCTGGACACTGACAGAAGTCACAAGACTGTTCTAACTGTTGATGAGAAAAGATATTTAGCAGTTTATATCTGCTATAATAATTGCATTTACATGTTGAGTGTACTGTGGGAGACCAGATATAGTGAATGCAGGGTCCTGGGTTTAGAAACACTTTAACTTGTCTCATTTTATCTCTTTTGGTCTTTTAAAAAGGAGCTTCAGTTGGTCCTCTAATTTTTTTTTAACCCCATTTACTTGTTATGCAACATTGTCCTGAATTCAGATACTCACTTGCCCAGTGGATCCAGCATTGTATTGCTGCAATCTCTACTGATCAGATACAACAGTCCAGTTCCTGCATGGCTTCACCGCCACCTTGGTCCTCCTCAGCCATCGGAAGCCAGCTTCCTCTTCTGGTTTCAGGCAGCCAGCCTCCAGTGAAGAGTGAAGCTCTGCCCACCAACTGCTGTGAATCCCTGCTTCTGCAGCCTCCTGAGTTACATGAAGTTGAATCCCAGGAGGCTAAGGCAGCAGGGACATATCATTTTTGCCTAGGCAAGAATAGAATTGGGTGGGCAGGTGCAGACCTAAAATTGAAAAAAGAAAATAAAAAGCCAAAAAAGTCCAGTTTTAATTTGTGGAGGGTAGTGGTAGTTCATGGAGCCTTAGCCAATCTGAGGGGTGAAGGTCCACTTTATGCATACCATGTACAATTTCCTGCCAGAAATCTGAAGGGATTCCTCATTCCCAGCTATCTTTGCTGACTACAAACATCTTTGTCACAGCCCCCAAACATTATCACCCGGCCCACTTCCCACACATACTGCATGCCTTTCTTGTGCAGCGGTATCACTGAGATCACACCCACTTTCTTGATGGGCCAACCCCTAATTATGTGGGAACTATTAACTCGTGGTTATGGTCCCCTTAGTAATACCTTTTTTTGAGTAACTGAGCATGCTCAGTAACACAAATAAGGGTGATGCTATGATCTCAGTATGTAACCATGGATATTGCATCATTAGTTTAAAAACATGTAGTGCCCTCTAGTG